TTTCAATTGAAACGTATTTTGTAGAGACCATGTCAACATGAATATTGAATATTTATAAATAAATTGAGGTCAATAATTAAATGAAGTCTTGTATCTAAATATATTGTTAAGATAGTAGCTGGCACATACAATGTATGACGCTGAACTGATATAGTCAAACCTGTGTATAACAACCAACCAACCAATCAAATTCATTTAAATGGTCGTTATAAACAGGTGTCTTTGTATGCAGGTTGGATTATTTGATTATGGATCGCCAACTCATATATTTACATGATATTTGTTCAGAAAATGAGATGATACTGTTGCAGTAAAAAACAAAAAAGCCAAAGTCACAAACAAATAAGTTTGGTAGAAGAGATTAAAAATTGGTCTGTAAACATATTGCTAATTGTTATTTTGGTCTCTAAGCAAAAGTGAATCTGCAAAAATATTCATGAAAGGTTAGTCACTTAAAACAGGTGGTTTTCTATATACTCAGGTTGCTCATACATTATGACTTGGGACTGCCTAAATTGGTCACTATAGGCAGAAGGTCTTTATATATAGATGGTCATTACACAGGTTTGACTGTATTAACATTATATACATTCTTGTATACAGCCGGAGATGTGGCATATGAAAGCTTATAATAAGCTGTTTTAGTTGTTGTTATATTGTACCAGATGTCATCATCTGCTGTTTGTCTCATGTATTGCTAGCATTAACTTGGCACTTTCAGATGAGTAAATATTTTCTCCAATTGATCCAAAATTGATAATGTAAAAAAACTGAATAAAGGACCCTAGGTAATGGCTACCAACAGAGTACAATTATGTTGTTATACAGTATGTGTAGAATTGCCACAAAAATCATACTGCTAATTGACTGAAAATAAACAGTTACTTAGCAACACACTACATCAGCTGCTCCTCACCAGTATTGTTGCCATGGTTTCATTTTTGTTAAAGTCACATAATGACATAGATGCCGCCAAATGCTATTAAAATAGAAGAATTACAAAATTACCATTGATGATATGATCTGGATCCGGTCTGTTCCCATAGCAATACAGGATGATGTTAGTTTGTATACCAAGAAGTTTGCGATACAGTAGTGATGACTGTTAATACCGATACGTCGGCAGTCATCATAGATCATTGATTCGTTATTGAGGATATAAAGCGTACCCTTTGATGTCTGATCTGTGCTTATTGAAATAAACGCAATCATCATATGCATATTAAACATGTTTGTGAGCTGTGCATGTATATTGACTCACAGGTGTGCAGATCACTGTAACATTTGGGGGGGGGGCATTACTGAAATCTGTTACCCATCTATTTTTCTCTAACAAAATTGCAGTATTAAAATGGCCAAATATTGCCAATTTTTGTGCTCAACATCTTACCTACTAGTAGCATCACATTTCCAAAAATTGGAGGCAAAAATCCTAAAATATTAAAATTTTCTCTTCACAGTTAGAGACATTCTTTCTCATACATCATATGTGTTTATGATTTCTTTATTTAGAAGTTACCAATATACATATGCGTGTATACCTTTCCTATGAGATAGTGTAGATCACATTGTGTTTCCCACATCTTTAGAAATGTTGAAAAAAAATGTTGTATGTTATTTTATTTCCAAATAAAATTTGGAGTGGTTGGGAGTGAGCCCTCTAGTGGTACTTACCAGATTAGGAAGACCCTCATTTTGGATGTTGAAGAATTAGAACATTGTCATTTGACATCAGTTTGGATCATTATATCATTTTGTGATTTTATATTATGACTGTCATTTATGTATTAAGGTAGCGAGACTATTATTTGTGTTGAAAATTACGATTTTCACATTTATTTATTAATTGATGAAATGCACTATCAACTTTCATCTGATAAAGTCAACGTAACCTAGAATGTCATGTAAGTTGAGGTAAGTTTCAAAGATTAACTCAAGACAAAGCAATGTTAGGATGTGTTATCAGTAGCTATCTGACACACAATGAGTGTTTCCAAACATTTGAGTGGTTTGTCTCCGCCCCTGTTTATTTCACAGATTAGTCATTTGCATATGAATGTATCAGACACAAGGTCACACAGCCACTGAAAAAAATCATTGATTTTGGTGTTTTCATCTGCCGATTTTATTGAATTATAGCTATCCCATTCCTTCATTTTTTGGTTTCCAATAGCCTTACACATTTGGATGCCCCCCCTACACATGTTAAAACAGACCTTGAAGGAAAAACAAATCATTTGTGCCGATAAACAAGCTTGAAAATCTTTGCTGTGACTTCATGGACGTTTTCTAGGAGTTTATGTTTTTCAAAATACAAGGTCTTTAACAAAAAATAACGTATACTTATTGTCGTCGGATTAACACTAAATTTTCACAGCTTTAAGGTGACAATGAGAGGAACTTGAATGTGTCCAGACAAACTATTTCATGGAAATATTATTTACCAATGTGTTGTGGTTTGAGTTGGGGGAAATGCGACTAAAACAGAAATTAAAATTCAGGACACTACTTTTCAAAACGCGCTGCTTGAATAAAACTGACCAGACACATTCAATTTACCAGACTATTGAACAACTAGGAAAAGTGAAAAAAAACCTTCTTATCACCAGCATAAATGCGTAATTATTTTTTTTACAAAAAAAGTATTTTTTCACTTTTGATTGAGTAACGCACCGTAGAATGCAGATACGGGCATGGCAAACACACCTTTGAAAAGCTTGAAGTCTGGCGATTCCAAAAATATATACTTTCCTGGGTCTATTTGTAGTCGTTTGGTCACAATTAGAAGATGAAAACAAGTATGCAAATAATAGTCCCGCTACCTTAATTTGCAACTTTTACTAATAGAGCAGATATGATATACAGTTAAGAAATTAGACCAAATTAAATTAATTAGTGTGTTTCTGGTAACATTGAAAACAAAAATAGGGTAGGTATGTAGGAATAACTTTTGGTTTTATTATAACTTTTTATTTTATGAAAATTAATTATTATTCTGTACTGCTTGGGCTATACTGTTATATGAGAGTATTTTTCATTAATACACTACATTAATACAGTACATCTTGCATGTACAGATTTTTATTTTCGTTAAAAATGAAGAATTTCAAGTAGAGCTGAAAGGTGTACCTATAAGTGCCCATTTTCCAGTTTGGCCATAAAAAAATACAGGTTGGCCTGAAAAATCTAGGCAAGGTTGAGTTACCGAAAATGCATTTTCTTTTTTATTTGGCACTAGTGTTTAGATCAATGTGAGTTTTGTATATTTAGCCCCCTCCTTACTCCCATAAATAAACAAATAAAAACAATTCAATTACATAACATATCTTTTTATTCGTACTGTCCAATCTTGGAAAAAATAATTTGCCTTGCCATTGCATCACAGTGACGTTACTCCAAACAAACAGCCACGTTATTGTCATCTTCACAGTTGAACTGATTTCTTTAAAGGCTTACCTTCTTTCGTTCCTGGAATTTTTGACAAATGTTTGTTAAAACGTCAGTTATCGCACCACATCTTGTTCAATTTGTTCCTATACAACGTGTATAACACATGTAGGTACCCATGAAATACAAATGTGTGCTGTTATGAATATGACGCTAGAAATGAACTTAAATTCTCTTCTTATTTTAAGGTTACCAGCAGACTATTGGAAGCTGAACGGCGTCGACTGTCAGCGCTAAAAAGAGACTTGAGTCAAGTCGATCACAAAGAGGCAATAGCAAAAGATAGAGTGAGTTATTTGAATTAATTGTGATGCAACTTTTCAACTAACCACTTTGAAACCATATCTTCAAATTTTTTATGTGATGCCAATTCATGTTTGATTTAGAGAAATTATAAATTCCAAATTTTGACAGATTGATGGTCTCTCGTTCAGGAGAGTGACTTTAAATCTGGGAAAAATTGCATTTTTATCAGGAACTGTGAAACAAAAAGCATGCTATATTGGTTATACAAAAACATTATAAAAAAAGTTTTTTTTTTTTACAGCATAGAGAATTAGAACGACAACAGCAATATTTTAGGTGAGTTATCTTAGCAAAAAGTGCTGTAAGTCTGAATAATACTGTAATTTCTAAATTTAAAATTGTACATAAACCAAAAATTACATTTACTGTATTGGACACGTACCTGACATTTACACATCCTACTAATATCACAAATATAGTAGTATTTCCAGTTTCAATATATAATATAAAGTTTTTATATCATTACACTATTAATCTGTCAAGCTACAGAGCAAATGTTGTCTTTTTTCCTGGTGAACTATAGAGGGCGCATTTCACTTCCAGTTCCATAATATTAACTCTTGAGAAGGATAGCTAAGCTAGTACCTTCCCTCCTCCTTTTCACTAAATTCTAGCCAGCAGATTATTCCGAACAATAAAACTAGATACAAAACTCACAACAAAATGTGATGCTGCTTGCAGTATAAAAATAAAAAATGAACAAAATAAAACCGACCAGTGGGAAAATGGTAAAAAACTGCAAGAGTGAAAGGATGTTTCGAGTTCAACTGATGAAGAGTTGAACTCGAAACGCCTGTCCTTTTTAACTCTTGCATGATTTTACCATTTTCCCACTGGTCCTTTTATTTTGTTCAGATTATACCTAACAATATCTGTTCATAGACTGTGTGTGTCATACCATTAATAGTTGAATTATTACTTTGCTTACAGTCGTCTTCAGGTCCAACATGATCGTCTTGAGAAAGAGTACAGAGAAAACGCAATGGGGGTTTTTAAAATACATTACAACCGATCTGTCAAGGTATAATCAATCAATCATTGATCATTATAAAATAAAAAATATTATCAAAGAACTGAGAAGAAAAGCATAATTTTTGTCCCAAAATTGAAAATGGGGAAAAAAGTAATTCAAACAAACATACAATCATGTGTTGTGGGAATTGAGTAAACAACTTGCATATGATTAAAAAAATATCTTTAAATTGCTATGACAATATACTGAATTATTTTGCCCCCCAAAAATGACATGAATACATTATTTAGTTCTGTGATTGTCATTATTGAAAATTTTAAGTACCGATAGTTTTTACTAAAATTGTTTAATATCCTGTACTAGTTTTTGCTATCAGTAGTTTTATAATTTAAATAAATATTTATCCTGTGTGTTTATTTTGTAGTCACAAAGGAGTCAACCTCATATTGGTATAAAACAGACATCCAAAGCAAGGGTGAGTACTAACAGCTGTAATGCAATCAATAACAATCAACTCCATTATAGTATTCTCCTTCATACATATGCAGCATAAAAAAATGGATAATTGTTAAGCTGATTATATTTAATAAAATTCTTGTATCCAACTTATCCAATGTAGTTTGACCATTTAGCTGTCTTGGAAACTCACATTTGACTTTCAAAGTATTGAATGATAGTGAAGATACGCTAGGACATAAAAACAAAAGTATTGACCATTTCAATCACTAGAGGGCATATTCTCTTTTCATCCTTCATTAAGGATCTTTACTACCAATAATATGAAAGTATATTAAATATGTCATTCAACATGTATATCCAGTATATTAGTTCATACACTTTGAATTTTGACTTAACTTTGATTTAAAATATGCGCAAAATGTTTCATATTTTCCCAATCTCAATGCTGGTTTGAATTGTTTGTATCTATGATTGTACAAGACTAGTCACTGTCTGTAAAGGTTGAATATAGGAAAGGTCAGGGGAAAGTATTTTAATAGGTTATTTTATCATTGTCAGATGTTTTAAAAGCCATGACTGAAAATCATTAAAAGTTGTATACTGCCTGATTACTGAAATCTCAATAAAACTCAAACTTGAAATTTTCATCCAGCAAATCCAGTATGCATAAAATGATAAAAAAATATATTTATTTGCAATAAATATTTTATTCTCTTTGTTAAAAATAAGCTTTTATATCCCTTTACGCAATGTGAAACAAAGAATTAATTTGCCAAAATTTGTTGATGTCATGAACCTCCAAATATAATTTATATTATAATTTAATTTTATATTATAAATTATTTTGAGTCAAATAATATATTTTATTCTGTTATAGTCATTACATAATGTATAAAGTTATAATCACCAAATGTGGTGAAACCTACCACATGGCTCATTCAGTGCTCCAAGCTATTGCCAAGTAACCACACTGTTGCTAAGGTACCAAGCTGTGTCTTCTGTCTTACAACATCATCTTAGGGTATCCTGTTGCATGTAAGCAGCACAGCTGGAGAAAAGAAACACAAACAAATATATGTTCTGGATTTGTATCTATTAATAGAATCGGGATGTTTTTCTTTCATTATGGAATACTTGATAAGAACTGTGAAAATCTCTGTTTCACACATTCCGTGTTGAATTCCTTCACTGATAGTCATGAGTATTGAGTGATATATAAGGGGGTCAGCAGGCAACTAATCTTTCTTGTCCCAAAAGATTATTTTTATTTCAGAGCTCACAAAATAGTTTCTGTGAAGTATACCATATATGTATTTATTATTAGGGCATACACTTATGTAAATGAATTACAGACGTGTGTTATTGTCAAAATAAGTAATTTTTTAATTATCCATTGTATAATAAATGGAACTGTTGGTTTACAGGCGGTTCTTATATCATAGTTGTTTCCATGTGCATGGGAAAGTAAACAGAATTTTATTAATATACCGGTAGAGTTTTCTTGACTGGCAGAAATTATTGTTTGGCATGAACATGATTAGTCATCAATGACATAACTAAAAATTTCATATAAAAATAATTAACTAAATTGTTTTATGTCATTAACTGAGATTTGTTACTTTTGTATCAATTGTATATTCTATATACTGTAATATCACCTGACATGATACCTAAAAAAACTAGATAGGTTTGCACCCGTATGTTTCACATATTACCTTGTATAACAATAAGTAATCGGTTCACAAAATATTTAAAAAATTCTAAAGATTTTTGTGAAACTGTATTGAGCCAATATAAGACTGAAAATGTTGTCTTAATAATCAGGTCAGGTTGTTAAGATTAGTGAAATTCTTATAATGTTACACTATAGATTACTGAGTAATATGAGGAATACTACTTTGTCATAGAGATACCCCTTGCACAGTGGAATATCAATCCATCCTTGAGATATGTGATAAAGGAACCCTGTGCATTTGATATAGGTCACTTGCTATGCCTAAGTATGTATGTGGGTCAAATGAACGCAATAAAACAATAAAACTAAGAACATACAGACTTTTCAAACAAGATTTAAAAATTGAAAATTACCTAATTAATATGCAGAACCATGGTCTTAGAAGGTTAATTGCAAAATTCAGGACAAGCAACCATGACCTTAAAATTGAGAAAGGCAGACATAATAATGTACCGATGGATAAAAGAACATGTGATATGTGCAGCCAAAATATAATTGAGGATGAGCAACATTTTGTAATGAAATGTCCAGCTTACAGTCACCATAGGGACAAATTATTCCTGACTGCACAAAATAAAGTTCCAAATTTTGATAAAGAAAATAGTCAGAATAAATTCATTTTGATTATGGCAAACCATACTCTAGCACCAGCCTTAGCAGTCTTCCTAAAAAACAGCTATGGAACAAAACAGCAACAACTATCAGTGTATTAGGCTACATTTTGTGTTCATTCTTTATTCTGTATTCACCATTGGCTGCTAATTGTCTTTATTGTTTTTGATTTGTTTTATTTTTTTAGAAAAGTTTTTCTTTTTTGTTTTCTTTTTTAGATTGTAGTTTTTTTTTAATTTCTTTCTGTAAGACCCTTTTTATCTTTTCCTAAGGATTTTATACGTCTAATAAAAAAATACAAATACATACGGTAGTCCTGATAACTACAATCGTTTTCAGTAAAATACATAATATATGCATAAGCATGGATTTAGGGTATGCAAGGGTGTGATATGCAATGAAGTCTCGCATGATTTGACATGCATATGAATTGTGATATGATTCAAAAATCAATAGAGAGCAAATTAGCGAGTCTGTGAAAGAACTGGCCTGCATTCATCTCAGACAATGTCTAGGGTGCTAGTGTCTTTGATCATTTGCAAATTGTGGAATATGCTCATCTCATGTTTTTTTTAATACTAGTATGGTGATGTTCAATTTGACATGCACAGATTGTGATTGTTTTAAATTGAGAGTTCACTTCTTAAGATTTTCATATCACTGTACATGGTTATGAAAGTTGCATTCTCCTATCTTATAAATCTTTGATACATGTGTAAGATATATAAACTTGAGATAACTCTCAGTAAGAGTTGAAATAAAATATTATGGAAACATAAAACTAACTTTAGGTGGTCCTGGTGTGGTACTAATATTTAACTATTTGTAAATTGAAGTCTTTAACTTTTCTAGGGATAACAGTTTATTGGTTGAAGGTCCTTGGCCTATTAAAAGGAGCACTCAATAAAAAACATGGAATATTTTGAAAATTGACTGACAGTCAGACCACACAACTGTTGGGTTGAGACTGCAGAATCCATTAGTGCTGCCATGTGTTTGTAGTCAAATTGAAATAGAAATTGTAAACCACATGGATGTCACTTTTCTTGTTCTCACAATATTTATTGGTGTAATCAGAGTATTAACAGATTTTTGGAAATAATCTGATACAAATATATAACACTATGATAAATGTAACAGAACAAAAAGAGAGATGGAACTGTTCAAGCTATGAGAAGTTGGCCTATGAAACTTCTAACAGAGTATCTAATGGTTAACATAATTTCAAATGTTGCCAGCTGTCTGTCTCTGCGTCTGTCTGTCTGTGTACATCTTGTTGCACTCTACTACCAACTGATAGTCTGGGATAGTCATGTCGATAAATGACATGTATAACTTGTCTATCACCATATTTTGACATAACATAGAGAAGATAAAAAACGTTGTTTGAATCTTCTGGGTTTAACTATGGACTGATAACTATGGATTGTTGTAGCAGTGGTTCATTTTAGAAAGCTAATGTGTGTATTTTCGGAATTGTTATTCAGCCCCTGCAAAAAAGTCTAACCAATTTGAGCAAATGTCATGAACAAGCAGCATTGTCATACAGTGTACGCAAGACGCTCACATGAAATAGAACACCACAGCATCACAATTACCATTACCATGGTTACCATGGCTCGGATTGATACAAAACTCTGGTTGTAATCACTCATGTATGCTATTATCATCCAAAGAGAAAATATCGTGTGATTGTATTATCCAATGGCAAATTCTAACCTACTTTTATACTTAGGTTGGTCCTTTGTGATCAAATAAATATGTTTCTTTTTTTGCCTAAAACTAGAAAGAAAAAAAGAGAGAGTGTCCTCAATCATAACGTGCACCCTATTTTATTCCTGGAGAGTATTACTTTTAAAAAATTAGTTTGTTTTCGTTTTCATGTTTTTCTTAATGTTTAAATATTTCTCTTGAAAAACAATTTATTCAGACCTATTTTTGTCTAAATATCCTGCCCTACCCTGGCAGCCTCTGATTACATTCAGGAAATATTGTAACAAGTGATAAAGTAGTCAGATTACAAGTTGAAACCAGTGTGCTTGTATCATATCCAGGAGTATATCAATTCAAAAGATGTAGAACATTTGGAGAGACTGTATCAGCTTTACATGATTGATTAATATGCATGCCATACATATGACATGCTTAAGTATGACATCACGACTACTAGTAACCATGGTGACACCAATACATAAATGCATGAATATTGTTCCCCAACAAGTTGTTCTAGTAAGTTGTGTTTTGAGGTTCACTTTATAATTGTGGTTTATTTAGAGGTTGCCCTGGAATCTCTGAGTCAAAAAAGTAGAAACAAAAAATAAGAAATCCAATCTACATGGTATTATTCTCATCAGTGAGTGTTCTTAACTTTTCAATGCCACCTTTAATAGTATGTGATACAAACATTGTTATGTTGGACTTGTATAGCAAATACTTGACATTTTACTTTTAGTTGGTTTCACATTGACAAATAAGGTTGGATTTAGGCTCACCCAAATTTTAGGCTTATTTATTTACTGTGTGTGAACATGAACATTAATTTTTAGGCTGGTGTGAATAACCCATGCCTGGGAAGTAATGCCAGGGTCGGCCCTAATTTTAATCCCCTAGGTAGACAGGTCTAACTAAAGTATGAACAAGTGCCAGATTACGTATTCGCCACTATCATT